CAATTCGCCTTTGTGTGGATTTTAAACAAATGGTAAACTGCTTTACACAGCTACGTAAATACCCAATCTCTTGCATAGACTATTTATATGCAAAGTCTGTCCTTCATAAAGTTGGACATGAACCATGTGTACTTGCACTTGCATTTAGACCAGGATTCCCAGAAGTATGCTACAATTAATACCTATAAGGGTTTGTACCAATATATGAGACTGCTGTTTCAGATACGATCAGCCTGTGCAATTTTATAGCGGACGATGGAAAACATTTGGCAAGGTCTACTTCAGGTCACTGTTTACCTAGATGATGTCCTGATAACAGGGAAGACTATGAAGAAATGGTTCAAGAACTTGGATATAGTTCCAAGATGTTTTTCCAAGGCAGGCGTATGCCTGAGAAGGGAACAATGTGTGTTCCAAGCACCCCAAATGACCTGTTGTGCTACAGAGTCGACAAAACCGGATTACACCCATTGGAAGATCAAGTGTGGGTGATTTAAAGGTGCCTTGGCTCCCGTGTCTGCCCAGAAGCTTAGGTCATTTCTTGAGTTGGTAAATTATTATGCAAAGTTCATACATAATCAGATTTCCATCCTGGCACAGTAAAAACCAAAAGGACTGCAGCTGTTGTAAATCAGGAACAAAAACAGAAGTTGCTGGTAAAGCTCAGCAGGTCTAGCAGCATCTGTGATGAAAAATATCAGTTAATATTTCAGGTTCTAAGAAAGGGTCACAGGACCTGAAATATTAACTCTAACTCTAACTGTTTTTTCTTCATAGATGCTGCCAGACCTGCTGAGCTTTTCCAGGAACTTCTGTTTTTTGTTCCATCCTGGCAGCTTTTGCATCAACTCCTAAAAAAGGCTCAGCCTTGGAAATGGTCTCATTGCTAAGCCCTGTCCTTCAATGAAATCAAAATAAGCTACCATCCTCTGAGATGTTGGCACACTGATCCCAAGTGAGATCTGGTATTGGCATGTGATACCTCCCCACACAGCATCAGCATGGCATTAGCTCATGGGTGACTGAATGGAGAGGATAGCCTATGCATCCAGGACTTTGGCTAATACAGAGTGTAAATATGCCCAGATGGAGAAAGAAGGATTGGCGGGCATATCTGAAGTCAGGAAATTTCATCAGTATCTTTATAGGCAAAAAATTTGTGAACCCTCTGAATAGCATCCCACCCAGACCCACTCTCCTACCCTACCCCTCTAGCCCTGCATTTCCCATGGCTAATCCACCTACCATGCACATCTGTGGACTGTAGGAGAAAACCAGAGCACTCTGCAGAAACCCACGCAGACACTGGGAGAATGTGCAAACTCCACACAGATGGTCACCCAAGCGTAGAATCGAATCTGGGTTGCTGTTGGTGTGAGGCAGCAGTGCTAACCACTGAGCCACCATGCCACCCAATGGAAGTTGTTTAATCACTGAGTTGGTTCCACTTCGGGGTCATGGCTGCCAGGAGGGCCACACTGGTGCTACCACCCCATCACCGGTACAACCTCTACTCCCATTGCTGCCAGGAGGACCGATTCGGGCAGCTAAAGCCCAGCATCTCTGTCTAATGAGAGACCAGCCCTAAGAGTCTCTAGGACTATAGTCAACTTTACCTTTTACTTTGTGGATGGTGACAAACTCAGGGAGTAGATGCCCCTGCAAACATTTTGGCACGCTATAATGCTTTAAACATCAGGAAATCCTGCAACCATCACAATGCCCAGTGCCCTCTCTTGTACCTGGATGTCCACAGGGAAAATGATGAGTGTAGCGTAGCGAACAAGTCAGTTACCTGCTTTATACTTTGCATGGATTGCTGTTTGTCAGATGTGATTGATGTCCCTTGTAGAAACCTGTAAGGTGCCAGACACTAAAATGTTCAGAGATGCAGCGTTTTTATAACAACTGCCTCAGCGCTGTTTGTTTTGGAATCTGGTTTTCGGTAACTTGCCTGACACCAACCCCCTAATGAGCAGCTCTTCAGGAATATTTTGTTTTACCCGAATATGAAGTTAGGAGGTTGAGAGGGGTTACACCCTGTCCCCCTCTAATTATTTCCCTCCCAGTGATGATCTGACCTGCTACATGTATCTCAGAGCAGTGCTCCAGTACGACCAGTATATTTTGTTTCCAAGTCATTACATTTTATTTTTGCGGGTTTTCCCACCTGGGTTGGGATTTGTCCAAAATTGTTGTACTCATTTTCGTCCACCTTCTGCAAGGAGGATACGGCAAATTAGCCTTCCACATGGTGCAAAAAGGCAAGGAAAATTGTAGAAGTGGCTGGCCCAAAATCCTTGCCACAGTAACCTCTACCAGACATGGTCTGTCGAACAGCCTTATCCAATCATTTCCAATAGCAAAGGAAGACTACTTGCACAATTACATGGCTAAAGCTTTTGAAGAGCTGCATTTGGGTTGCTACCTGTCTTCTGATAACATACATCATGTTCAGGGCTTTTGTGAGGCCTGGTTCAAGTAGGACGAAGGCATATTGATTTCTGCATATCACTTTGGTGAAAAGTGATTTTGAATTCCTGCCTGTTTTTGTATCACTTGGCCCAAGCCCAGCTGCAAACGTTCAGGTTCTGAGGTTGCTCTTTACCCAAGTTCTCTGCTCCATTATTAAAAACTGGCAGGGAAGTTGAATGGAGGCGGAATGTTTTTATGATCTTATGTTGGCTGTATTGGCTTTCCCTGCTCACATTTCTTTGTTCTTAAATCCTATGTGCAAGAAGATCAGGTTTTGTCACTTTATTGCATTTGGCTTTCGGTATCAAAGTCATTAATGAAATAAACTTTTTAGACTTAGGCTTTGTCACAGGTACTAATGTACAGGGGTACAATGTCACCACACATGATGCTATCTTAGGTACAATGCACCTAGGTACAAAATCTTAGTTACAGAAATAGAAAAATAAAGAAGTTCAGCACAGTCCTCTTAGCATAAATGTAGAAATAAAATGTCAAACATCACAGCCCTTTCTTGAGCCATAGACCTGCAGATGCTCTAAGCTGGGCTTTCCCGAAGACTGCTCACTCTCTCCCACACTAGGCATACTTCCACCCACTTTGGACTAAAACCTGCCCGGACACCTCAGGCTTTGCCACCGCTCACAAGGCTTTGGCTTGACCACTGCTTTGTTGCTGCTGAACTTATTTCACAAAAGTTAAATGTTTCCTTCAAAAGGTTTTCATTGAAGAATAAATTTGCCTAGTTTAGCATCAACGCACTAAACTCAACATACGCTGTTAATATTTTCTTGATAGCAAATAGTATTTGGCTAAAATTTGTAAAATATTGAACTGCCTGTAACTTGTAATTTGCCCCATCTTTATGTGCTGTTACTGTTGCAAATGATCAAGCCAGCTTCACAACATTCAAATGGACCAAATGAAACACTCTCTATTGTTTTACTACTGCAATATTCATACGATAAATTGACAGACCATGAAGTTGATACATCAGTTTGGTACAAAACTACTGAATGTCAAATTTGCACATAGGCTATCACAAAGGAAAACGGAAGAAAGATGAGGACGTTTTCCTGGATCCTGGATCACTTGGAAAAAATGGACCTTTTGCTGCCATGTTAAGAATCTTAAAATCCCTACAGTGTGCACACTGACTCTCCAAAGAGCATCCCGCCCAGACCCATACCCTGCTCTATACCTGTAATCCTGCATATAGCATGGCCAATCCACCTAACTATACATCTTTGTACAATGGGAGCACCTGGAAGGAACCCACGAAGACATTGGGAGAATGTCAATGTGGAGTTTGTACAGTCGCCTGAGGCTGGAATTGAACCCGGGTCCCTGGCGCTGTGAGGCAGCAGTGCTAACCACTGTGCCACCCGACGTTTCAATACTTTAGTGCATTCAAGCAGTCCACTAATTCATCAGATATCCAGCAAAATCTGATTATTTCCTACATTAAAACAAATTACATTCGTTTTCTGAAATGCTGTCTTTTAATTTTACAGTTTCTATACATTTACAGCAAAGAATTAAAGCATTCAGTCCATCTTTGCTGTAATGTTTAATTGTTCTGTTATTGATTCTGTGAATCTGTTTATTATTGATGCTCACTGTGCTTGATTAGCTAAGACGGGGTTTATACTGGGTGGGGATGGAGGTGTTGGAAGAGAAGCAAACTAAGTATAGAAGTTACCAGAGCGTGGAACTGAAATTTTAAAGCACTGCAGCGAAAACCCATTGCAAGTACAGAAGCTATGACTTATTCTTATTTTCACAACCCTCTTTCGCCAATCTCCAACTTATCTTTTCAATCTCCTGCAGCTTGCATTCAATACATGTCCTTCAGTCTTGCTCTGTTGAGTCAATTGTATATAATTTCCTCTTTATTTCGTTATCATTGGTATCACACCCCTGTATCAGAAAACAGCTTCCATAACCTGTGCTTGGCACACATTCCCTCCTGATGCAAACACAGTGTCCCAAAACCTTCAAGAAAAGCTAAGAACATTCACCAAGAGTGCAAAACATATTGAATGATGTGTGATTCACTCAGGGGAGGGGGTAGTGGCCCAGTAGTGTTATAACTGGACTGTTAATTTAGAGAACCAGATAATGTTCAGGGGACCCAGGTTCAAATCCTGCCATGGCAGATTTGAATTCAATAAAAATCTGGAATTAAGAGTTTAATGATGACCATGAAACTATTGTCAATTGTCAGGAAAAGCCCGTTTGGTTCAGTCCTGTCCTTTAGTGAAGGAAGCTGCCATCCCTCCCTGGTTTGTCTTTGATGTGACTCCAGACCCACAGCAATATGATTGACTCTTAACTGCCCTCTGGCCAATTAGGGTTGGGCAATAAATGCTGCCTAACCAGTGATGCCCTCATCCCATGAATGAAAAAAACTTGTTACCAATTTGTTTGAAACTATAGCTTGAAGTAAAAAAAAGTGCTTGGTATGCAAAAAGAATTTTTCACATTGCCGACAGTACAAACATCACTTGTTTCTTTTTAATCAGAGATGAAATGAAATCTCTTCAGGAAACCCTTCAAAAACAGATCAATGAGGCTGCAGTGAAAGCAGAAAAGCAGCAGGCTGGGGTAAGCTCTCTTAGACCTAACATTTTCTGATGATTGTTTTTATTGTTTTATACCAAAAATATCAGTAACAATGCTGCATACCAAATGAAAGAAATGTGTTTATTCTATGCAGTGTTGTAGTTGTTGGTGCTCTGTAGCTTAATATGACAGACCTGCTGCCGTTACAGATTAACTTCCTAAAGGCTGAAGTGGAAAGGAAGAGCAAACTGATAAGAGATTTACAGCAAGAGGTAAGAATCTGTTTATTCATGTGTGGCTTCCTGGGGTACAAGCTGGAGGAGAAGGAAGAAAACTTGACAGAATGATCTTTGCAATGCCATGATTGAATACTGAATTTCCACCCTGCTGGTTAGTAGTACGGTAATTGCATTGTGTTGCAGTTCCTCTGCTTGGCCTTATCCTATCTGTTAAAGATGTGCAACCTAATGAGCATCATTAACTCATAAATACAAGATATTTTTGACACTCTGTTCAATAAAAAAAAGTCATACAAGTCACTGTTATCATAAAAGGATCACTTTAACTTTTGGTTTTGTGAAAATCTGTATTCCATTTAATTAATTTGTCAATATAACTGACAGTTTAATGGGGTTTCAATGCTCCCATTTTTAATGGATTCTAATATGTTTTGTCTATAAACATAGAGAGTCAAATATTTAGTTCTGGAAGAGTTTAATTTCACGCTTCATGTTTCTCTCATTTGTTTCGCATTGGTATAAAGTTTGGGCTTGAGTAATTTTCATGCTTGGAGGCATATCAACAATATGCAACTTCAAGCCCTACAGTTTATACAGTCAAATAATAAGAAATCTTGCTCTATTTGTTTGGATAACAAGTTAAGAATATTATTCTATATGTGATAGCAGCCAACAATGTGGCAAATGATGATTGTTTACTGCCTGGACGCTGCTTTGTCCCAAACTGAGCATCTGATATGCTCTAGGCTTAACAAGTTCATGTTATTGTAGTAGCTGTTGGCAGCATTATTGCTTGTTTAAGCAGTAAAATGTCAAAGGCAATCAAAGTTTAAGCACGTCAAATTATAACTTCATTCACGGCACTTTGTAAAGTGCCATTATCATCAGTGTAAGGCGAGTATTATGATTGGGACATGGTCTTATCTGGCCAGATTCCAAACAGGAAAACTGTTTTATTTGGCAGGTTTTGACTGCCCTAATTCTTATCCAGTAATCAGGCCCACTGTCACTGGACTGAATGGAGCTGGGTGAGCAGGAGGAGATTCAGGCTGCCAGAGAATTGGAGGAAAACTTCCTCAAATCAAGATGTACATTTTAGGTGGAGGGGAAAGCAAGAGATTTGCATTCATCTAGAACTTTTCACACCCTTGAAGTGTTTTCCAACCAATCAAGTACTTTTCAATGTTTAGTCACCTTGTCATGGAGGAAGCATGGCAGCCAATTTGTGCACAGCAAGCTCCCACAAACAGCTGTGCAATAATGACAAGGTAAGCTTGTTTGGTTTGTGACCTCAAATAATGGATAAATATTGACCAGGACACTGGAGAATCAAGTCTCATGTTGTTCTTCAGAGTAGTGTCATGGAATCTTTTATGTCCAATCAAGAGTTAAGCAGAGATATAAGAATTGCCGATGCTGGAGTCTGAGATAACAGTGTGGAGCTGGAGGAACACAGTAGGCCAGGCAGCATCAGAGGAGCAGGAAAGCTGAAGTTTCGGGTCAGGACCTTTCTTCAGAAATAATCAGGTTGTCTGTGGTATCTGGCACAGTAGCACAGTGGTTAACATTGCTGCCTTACAGCACCAGGGACCTGACCTTGGGTGACTGTCTGTGTGAAGTCTGCACATTCTCCCCATTTCTGCAGGGTTTTCCGTTGGGTGAGAGGTAGTAGGAACTGCAGATGCTGGAGAATCCGAGACAACAAGGTGCAGGGCTGGATGAACACAGCAGGCCAAGCAGCATCGTAGGAGCAGAGAGGCTGACGTTTCGGGCCTAGACCGTTCATCAGAAA